TTTTACTCAGTAACGTCTTATTAGATATGATAAGCACAAGTGTTTTCTCCGTTAGAAACTATTGCTGAATTGTTACCATATAATATAAGGCAGATGCTGCAAAGACTGAGCAATCTGACATCATAGCACTTGAAGATTACTGTGGCACATAATGCTAATTAACTATAACTGCAAAATCATTAGGCCATCCTTCGCTCTATTAAGAGTACAGCCAACCTACTTTATGAATAAGCGTTGGAAATCTCATGCAGAGATGTGAGTGATTCTGTAGAAAGAAATAACTTGCAGAAAATTGCCATATCTGATATAATGTCACTTCGGCGTACATAATGATACAGCCGAATTGACAGGACTGTCCCCAAACAAAGTATCGTTTCTCAAGTCAAAAACCAATTTGTGCATATTTGCAAGACCTAATCAGCAGGACAAAATTGACCACCATAGCGCATAAATGGCCCAGGAATGACCTCAAAATGTGTCCAAGATACCAGACAAATCTTTTGCTAGCACAAGCGAAATATGCCTTTGCATTAACTATAGTACACAACTTATGAATTTATCACAATTTCTGTCACATGCATTTCCCACAGTGGCACTTTTCTACACAAAGTCAAATGCATAGGTCCACTGACGAAATGGGGGCTAAATCAGTTCATCGCACAGGGCTGTGCAAATACGAACGCACCGCGCGCGTGCAGACCCTCTACCCCAAGGGACACATGAACTTCGTTCTTCAGACCACCGAAAGGACCATTGGACAAGTGGGTGTAGATAGACAGGCGCACGATTGGTCAACTGACCGCAAAGACGATGAATAGAGGTGGTAAGTGCGACATCGAGGATCGGCATTTGGTTGGCCTGGCCATATCAGCTTACTGTAGAGAATTGCTGCAGTTTCGGTACTCTGTCTGAGCGATGGATAACGATGAAGCCTTTCCCTCAGTGACCGGAGTTCTCATGCGGGGCTGTTGATCAGCGCGTGATGATGCTTCGGTTGCATGGTCAATGTGGTTTAAACGCTGCAGAAACGGCCCGAGAATATAAAAACATGGACACAAGAATGCGGCACATAAATGGCGGTTACGTGTTGTAGCTTGTTCAAAAGGTTGAGTGATCAGATAGTGTTTGTAACGTCAGGAAGACTTGTCTGCATCGCACCACTACGGATGCGTTTTCGGCTTGCGAATTTATCAGCGAATTAAGCGAAAATACCGAAATGAGCAACAGTACAAACGCGTAGTATTGTGACAACACCAATGGTGCTCTATGGCGAATTATGAAGGAAAGCAAATGTCGTCGGTATTAGGAATCCCAAGTACAAGTTCTTAGCCCCTGCTATGTGAAGAAATGCAGGCATTTAACTGTTGTTTCTTGGATCACATGGATATCCGTTACTAAAAGGCAGCGGTGCTGTGCTAACTTTTGTTTAAGCCTAACGCTGAACAGGTGGTGTTGGATACGTACATTTAAGTAGACGGGTTTAAACGGTGATATTAATATCTACGCAGTAGTTGTTCAAAGTGGCCACCTACAAGTAGTTTGTAGTGCAGAAATCACCTAAACTGGTGACAAGAACATTCTCCACTATTTCCGCGGTGAGGGCGTGACGCACTCACGATGCTCTCCTGCGATTGCTCTAATGATTTGGCCTTGGCTTACAAACTATTAGTTTTATAAAGTCCCTTAGGGAGAAATCCAAGTGGTTCAGATCGGGGGACCGGGCAGGCCACTCCGTTAGTCCCCTCAACCGATCCATCAGTGGCTAAAACTCAGTCTCGAATAATCACGAATCGTTTGGACGTAATGTGTAGGTGCACCATCACGTTGCCACCTAGTGGTACAGCATAAACCATCGGCCTGCAGATGCAGAAGTACGTATGTCTGCAACGTTTGATTTTAAGACGATACCATAAGGGGCAGGGAGGTAGTGATGTACAAAACAACCTACAAGTCAAATGCTGGTAAAGAAACAAGGGCTCAAGAGTTGTCGACCAGTTATTCCAGCCCAAACCAGAAAGCGTAGGACATGTTGCTATGTGATGCTCGGTAACATTGTGGATTAGATACTGCCTCATAATATTGTTTCTGGATTTCAAAAAAATTAAAAAAAATCAGATTCATCCGGAAACATGATGGAATGAATATTCATGTGATCCAGGAAACAGCAGTTAAATGCCTGCATTTCATCACATAGCAGGGGCTAAGAACTTGTACTTGGGGTTCCCAATACCGATGATATTTGCTTTCCTTCATAATCCGCCGAACAGCGCCATTGGTGTTGTCACAATACTACGCGTTTGTACTGTTGCGCATTTCGGTATTTTCGCTTAATTCATTGATAACTTCGCAAGCGGAAAACGCATCCGTAGTGGTGCGATGCAGACAAGTCTTCCTGGCGTTGCAAACACTATCTGTTCACTCAAACTTTTGCACCAGCTTCAACACGTAACCGCCACTTTGTGCCGCATTCTTGCGTCCATGTTGTTTTATTCTCGGGCCGTTTCTGCAGCGTTTAAACCACATTGACTATGCAACCGAAGCGTCAGCACGCACCGCCCATCAGCCGCGCATAGTAACTTCGGTTGTTCAGAGGTTACCGAGGGACATGCTTCATTGTTATCCATCGCTGAGACACTGTTCCGAATCTGCAACTCTTTTCCGCAGTAAGCTGATATGGCCAAACCAACCAAACACCAGTGGGCCGCTATAAAATACTATCGATCCTCGTTGTCGCACTCACCACCTCCATTCATCGTCTTAGCGGTCAGTTGACCGATCGTGCGCCTGTCTGTTTACACCAATTGACCAACGGTCATTTCCGTGGTCTGAAGAACGAAGTTCATGTGCCCCTTAGGGTGTAGGGTCTGTACGCACGCGGTGCGTTGGTATTTGCACAGCCCTGTGCGATGAACGCTTTTAGGCCCCATGTTGTTTTTTGACCTGCTGAGGCTGATTTTGCATTCTTGATGCTTCTTCACCGCAGTTGGGCTAAACCAACTTACACTTAAACTAGGTCTCTTTAAGCTGGCTAAATTTCATTCCGCTTTATTTGGTTTGTTCTGCCTCCCTGAATAATGTTCTATTAACTGGCCACGTTGCTTACACTAATTGCGCTTATCTTCGGTAATTTTGTTGCGTTTGTAGCATTTTAAGTAACTTGTGGACATTTCTTACTTATCACGGATTTGTTGCTAACCAACTTACTTCATATGATAATTTAGCGAAGAGTTATGCCACCGTATCTGTATGCATTATTGGATTAATTTTATTTCAGCTTGTCGTTTAAAGTGAACGGCTGTTGTTTGCTATCCCTGGTATGGTTTCGCTTGATGTGTATGTTGACAAGGTGCCTACCTGTCTATTACCCACTACATCGTTCATACTGGCTCCAGGAGACAGTTGGTCGTTGCTGTAGGGGACGGGGTGCACGGTTCTTGTGGCCGTGCTAGGCTCAAAGAGCGGTTCCATGCACTCAGTGTGGAGCGGACTACGGTCCAGCCACCGCCTTGTGTGCGGTTGATTCCCCAAATACAGCGTGCTTGTGTTTGCCTGTGAAGGAGTGTGGGCCGGCTCCGTTGATGAAACGTGGTTCCCATCCGCATGCCTCCCGGTCTTATTCCTTCGGGTTTACACTGGATATGGGGTATGTGGTTGGAGCTGTGGGTGGTGCAGTGCAAGCCATCCATGGTCCCTCTGTAGGCGCAGGCGTCCTGTGGCTTGCCACAGTGACAGGCAAATCCGAAACCGGATGCCGCCAACCAGTTGGGATCCGAGTTGTCCTGCGAACGGTTGCTTGTAGCTTGGTTTTTTTACGCACCATACTCGTTCTCCTTTTTTGAGGTCTTGTTGCGTGTTCTGAAGCTAAATCACGGCTGCAACTTTGGTGATAGCACGTTTTCACTCACCTTTGAAACACTGTAACTATTCGGCATCGCAAACTTACGATTTAACTCTCCTCTTTTGGTCGCAAACTGCCTATACTCCATCTCACCTAGAACATCTCTTACACTGCTTTTCTTTTCTGGCAATCCACACTGAGCTTACTTGCTTCCTCTTATTACACAACCAACGCCTAACAGATAAGGTGACCTGCCAACGTTCGCCTTCTACAATGCTTTATGCATTATGCTGCTATATTATTGAGCTGTAAATATGTAGGCGTAGAAAGCATGGTTTTATTTCGACTGTTATTAAATTAATTATTGCTGGCGGTTAGTATTCTTTTCTGCATCCGGTTGCAGTTTTGCAAAGTTATGGCCTTCTTTTACAGTCTCAGCTCGCGTGTATAACCTTTGGCGACTGACTGCTTTAGGCGCGTAGTACCATCGACGAGTATCCTTCTATGAGTTTTTAGTAGAATTTGTGACAACCAGGGTGTGTTACAACATTGGTCCATGGCAGTTTTGAGATGCACTTTGCTAACACTACATGCAGGAAGCGTTACCATTAAGTATGGTTGAAAACGATCATATCCGAACAGCAAACATGAGATGGACACATAGAAGTGCAGTGGTTCTACAGTTGTGCTCAGTTTGGACCCTACGGCAGGACAGGTTGTTTGGTTTCGCGTATCTTAAGCATGCTAGGTCCACAACTCGTAGATGTACGTTTTTATTATAAAATATCTGCCGATTTTGGTCTCTCATCAAAGTGGTTAGTACGTTAAACAGCATCAAAGCTATTCCTCTGAGCCTAAACACCTAACAGTCATATTTTGTTGGTGGAAAACTTGAAGTTGCAAGCATAGAAGCCGTTGCCTCCCATAATAAAATAAATTCATGTCTTTGACTCCTCATTTCGTTGTCTGAACTACTTTCTCTTAGTTGCTTTTGATTTCGTCTTAAATGTGTCGAATAAAGAATGAACAAATAACTTCCGTTTCAGCCAAAGCAAGCAGAACAATGGTGCGGCAGTCATCCAATTTGGAAATGCAATAAAGTGGTAAGATTGAATATGTTAATCATTGCATTCCAAATATGGGAATTGATGTGAATACAAAATGACAACCGAGATTCTCAAGAAACCAATACCTAGAGGAAAAATGTAACACGAAAGCAAACTATAAACGGAAAGAAGGGGGGGAAAGTTTACCAAATAAAGCAGCAGAATTGTCGCATAAAGGTAGTGTCACAAGCCTTCTGTGGCGTTGAACCAAAAGCTCATCCCAGTTTTTCACTGTTTTAAATTCCATGACCTAAAATCAGAAATCAAATGAAACGGCGTTGGAGCGAACAAAGGAATTAGTAAAACGATTGCAAACCTACGGTCTCTCTACTGCGCCAATCTTACTTAATTTAATCTAACATCAACTGTTGTCCTTCATAAAAGGAGCAGTTCGTAAATGCAGACGTACGCCGCCTCACTGTTTTGCCTAATGAGCCCTAGTCATATTATCAGGGAGTATTTAGCGCAAATTATGATAACCCGCATCGATTGCTTCAGCTGAATCGATCTAGCTGTACTAAAGTGACGTTCAACCCGGGGCCGTATGCGGGAAGTATCCGTCACGATCTGTCAATGATTGAGATTAGATTCAAGAAACACTTCTCATTCCTGACCTATGCACCGTACTGCTTATTGCACATCGTAGAACACAAAATGGAAACACTTACAGACGGACTCGTTTCTGGTGTTTTGTACACACACTTGATTATGGTATCCTTTTTCGGGGCAGCGGACCACTGCAAAATGATGAACAAAGAATTGGACCTTACGAAACGCAAAAGCACACTTACCATTTCTCTTGTAGGCCGCATTTTATCGAAAGGAAACATTGCTGTCCGTATTGTAATTGTGTCGCTAGTTGCAATGGCAGTAGCTGCTTCCATCGGTTTCCGAATGACTTGGTGGAAGGTTAATATTATCACAAAGTAAGTTGGAATTACCAAGCAAAACAAAATACTGCTTTGGCCATATCGTGTCTTCGGGTGGAAAGACCGTTAGATTAGTAGATGATGTTAATGTATCAAAGTATACAGAATCAGTTGAGGTGTTGGTTAGGAGGATTTCGGAGGAAAACGGTAAAGCGTATGGACCTAAAACTAGAAGTTGTCCAGAATGAGTGAGTACCATCAAACACAAGCTCGCTGTTCGGTTCGATAACCACATCCCCATCCACAAACGGGATGCACTTGAGTTTATGTGTCCGCATTTGTGATTCGTTGGCATTCTGCCACTAAGCACGATGAGATTTGGCCAATGATTAAATTCCAAGGCATCTACTTACCAGTTGACTTAGGCACTCCTCTTCTGCGTTCTTCGCTTTCATGCTTCTAACTAGTATCTCTTGCTTACCGTTTGAAGGATGAGAAAGATGGTACGAGAGTGAATACACTACAAACAGAATATATGAGTGGATTTGCAAATTCAACTCACCAACAATATTTGCATGTTGCCCCGGAATGAGGCAGTCATAGCGAGGTTGAAAATAGTACAATTCGGGTAAATTGGACTCCAGCTTGTAGTGTAATTTACACTTTCCGTCATTGTGTAGCTGGATAACTGCATTACCACCGGATACACGGCTGTCTGCACGTCGATAAACTGTTTGCAAAATGGACACGATAGTCGTGTATAGAAAAACAAAGTTGTTCGGTGGACATTTTATATATAAATAACGAACACCAATAAAACTAATTAAGGCTGGCTTCGACTGCGAGCATGCAGATCGCATCATGTAAGCGATCCAACCGGGGGCCACGTGACCCTATGGGAACGTCGTAAGCAGCTGTTCGTGACGGAGGATATGCAAGTGGCAGATCGGCTGTACCCACGGACGCCGCGGATTTTTGGATCAACGTGTGCTGGATACTACTTTTGCCTCAGATTACTGTGTTAGCAGCGTTTTATGTGTGAATTGTGCACCATTAGTCTTCTTTTGGCGTATTTTCCAAGCGGTGCAAATTTGGGAGCTATTCTTTGGCTTATTCCGGAGATCTCACTGATTTGCCGTACTGCCATCTCTGTCTGCCATCTTGGATTTGCTCTAGCTTGTGATGCCGTCTCAAGCTACTTGTGGTTCGTGTTCGAAAGTTGTGGGAAATAAGGCTCATGCACTTCGATGCTTCAGCTGTGACGTTTTGTTCCATATTTCGTGCATTGGCTTATCCGTTGACGTGTTTCGTAAATCGCTCGACATCCGACCTCGGTTTTTTCAAGTTATATGTGATAAATGTCGCGGTACAAGACATCAGAATACGCAGCGACCGCAAACAACTACGGAAAAATCTCGCTTTCAGATAGAAACAAACCGTTCACCACGTGGGATCAAACGCCCTCGTGAAAGTATCTCTGTCACCTCGCCTTCTATTGTCTCTCCGCAATCTGCACCACCACCAGCGTCTTCGACCCCGGCCGAACCCCAGGTTCAATGTTTCCCACCGATGGAAGACTCAGACTCAGAAGCTACGAAATGCCGCTTCACTGGTCGGTCCGTGAATTTCTCAGAGCCTGTCTGTGAACTTCTGAACACCGAGGATCCATGGACCACTCAAAAGCGCAAGGGCCCACGTAATCGAGTTCAGACGTCACCTGCTGAAAAACAACTACCCAATCAGTTAAGCGCCTCTAGTTCTGCTCCCACAGGTTCATCACTGATTTCGCTGAGGCGTCATAATCTCATGGTCTTCCACGTACTGGAGTCGAAAGATGAAAACCCTCAAATACGTTATGATCACGATGTTGAGTTCCTCCAGGGGCTCATCGATAGACTCTTGGATGTGGGCGAGGACAGTGTGACGATTAAACAAGTAATCCGACTTGGCCAGAAAACCAACCAGTCATGTCGACCTTTGAGGATCACTTTTGCAAGTCTTAATATGCCGCAGCTCATACTGTCTCGTCCGTCAAGGCTGAAAGGCATAAAAGTTCACATCCGCCGAGATTTGGAACCCCAGGACAGGGATCGTTTGAAGACTGCGGTCATTGAGCTCAAACGCCGTACAGAGGAAGGTGAGACTGACTAACAAGTTGTAAATTTTCGGGTGATCAAGAAGGGTGTACGAACCCGTATCAACCGGTTGCTCAACCTCCAGGCACGTCCCGCAGTACCTCCCAGGACCTCCGTGTCGCATTCGCCAACGTGTGCAGCCTAATGAACAAACGTGACGAACTGTGCCGCTTCGCTGTCTCGGAGCGGCCGGACATTTTAGGACTTGCAGAGACATGGCTGAACTCCAAAATCATACCCCAAGAAGTCGTGTTGTCAGGATACTTTTGTTTCCGATGTGACCGAAAATCAAAGGCTCACGGTGGTGTTCTGTTGTACATTAAATCGTCACTAAATGGCAAACTTATCAGTACCTATCGGAGCGAGGATAGTTTATGCGAGCAATTGTGGTGCACAATCCGTCTCAGGCGCGCAGAACTAATTGTGGGGGTTATCTACCGGAGCCCATTAAACCGTTGCTGCGATTGGATACCACATGTACAGAAACACATGAGCCGCCCTCAGTTCTTACTGATGGGGGATCTAAATTTACCCAAGATAATTTGGCCAGATGTTCGACTTCTTCCCGGTCATGGCAACGTTGAGGCTCAATTCGCTAAAATGACTATTGAAATTGGGGCAAAGCAACATGTCATCCAACCGACGCGCGTAACTCCGTACTCGGCATCTTGTCTGGACCTAATGTTTACGAGCTGCGAGCAGAAGCTAAAAGAGATCAGTGTCATCGAACCTCTGGCGAACAGTGACCACTGCTCTATTGTAACAAGCTTAGAACTGTCGTTACCATATTACAATCAACAGAAGCCGACATCCAACTATTGGAAGACGGACTTCAACGGACTCGTCCAAGCCGCCAGTCAGACTGATTGGACACTACCACATGATGCGTCACTTGAGGCGTGATGGTCATTAATAAAGAGGAAGCTTAACTCGCTCTGTACTCGGTTCGTTCCCCTTAAGTATCCAAAAATCGGACCTGTCAAACCGCATTGGTTTGATAGGGAATACAGACAGTTAGTGCGACGACGTGGTAAACTTTGGGATAGATACATCAGCTCGGGTTGTGATGAAGATGACGCGGTGTACAGGAAACAGCGTAACTTATGTAACGCCGCAAAGATCAAGAAACGCCGGCAATTCGAAGAGGAGCTAGCATCCTCGGCCACAACTGCACCCATGCGAATATTTGCCTACTTGAAACGTCAACTGAAACCTGGAGACGACCTACCGGTCTTAGAGAGCTTAGACGGGAAGACACTCATTTCAAGCGCGGAGCGCGCGGACGCCCTGGCTACGCACTTCCTCACTGTATTTTCCAGTAAACCGGCGGCTGTTCCAGTACCAGCACAGGTTGCGCAAGTCTTGCTCGACAGCCTACAATGTGATGCAGTCGAAGTACATCAGCTACTCGTCAACCTCAATGGTGCAAAGCCCCTCGGGCCAGACGGACCTCACCCACTAATACTCAAGTCCCTATCGATAATCATCTCACCAGTTGTGACAAAACTTTTCAATAGATCGCTCTCTGAAGGATCCGTCCCGAAAGACTGGAAATGCTCGATAGTTAAACCGCTTCCCAAGGGTGGTGATCCGAGTAACATAGAGAACTATAGACCGACCTGTTTGACTTCGGTATTATCCAAAGTTCTCGAGAAGGTTGTGAGAAAGTGTCTGCTGTCGTTCTTCGAATCGATGGGCGTATTGACGCCAGCGCAACACGGTCTTACGAAAGGGCGATCCTGCATCACCAACTTGATGTACGCAAACCACCAGTGGGTTCGAGCTCTCAATGAACAGAAGGATGTTGACGTGGTGTACATGGACTTTAGTAAGGCGTTTGACAGAGTGAACCATGAGGTACTCCCTCGTAAACTGAGGACATACGGAATCGGTGGCACGTTACTTCAGTGGATACAAGAGTTTATTGTGGGACGAAGCTTTAGAGTACAGGTCAATGCCTATCTGACAGAATGGTTCCCATCGACCAGTGGCGTGCCACAAGGAACTGTACTTGGGCCAGCTTTATTTCTTATTCATATCAACGATCTTCCGCAGCAGCTCCAGTCACCATGTGTCCTGTTTGCAGATGATTTGAAAATCTGGAGGATCATTGAAAACCAGGACGACTGCGCCCGCCTCCAGCATGACTTAGAGCGACTGTCAACGTGGTCCACTGAAATGTAACTCCCTCTTAACGCAAGCAAGTCGGAGTTCATCAGTTTCACCAAACGTCCAGCCACTCGATCATACACCTTGGACGGCCAGTTGCTCCATCCCAACACATCTGTCAGAGACTTAGGAGTTCTCTCACTACATGATTTAAAATCACTAGAAATACAGATAAATTGTACCGTGCGGGACTTCGTATGTTCTGGGCATTACGACGCAGTTTCTCCACATGGTCCGAAGAAACCGTCCCTCGTCTATTCGCCTCGCTCATTAGACCAATCCTTGAATACGGTGCCCCAGCTTACCATCCGATAACTCAATGGGAAACTGAAAAACTGGAGAAAATACAGCATATCGCAACTAGAATGATACCAAGTCTACGAAAGCTTCCATATGAAAAACGTTGTGAAAAGCTCGGGCTCTACACACTATCCTATCGCCGAGTAAGAATTGATCTTATTATGACCCATCGAGTACTACACTTGAATCACTTCCCCATACTGCGGCCAATATTTCACCTGCGAGAACCCTGTAACACCCGAGGACATCGTTACAAACTCAGGGTCCCCAGCATGAACAAAGTATCACATCAGCTTTGTATCGAAAGAAGAATCGTAAACTTATGGAATACACTACCTGAAGGATTAATGGAGGCCGATTCTGTGAAGTGTTTTAAAACCCGTATCGACGATTATTTTGGAAACCTGTGCTTTTGTGAAACGATGCACATACAGTGCCAAAAGAAGACATTGTATGTCCGGAAATAATAACGCTAGTACAAATTTCTAACCGAACACGGATAAACGATTAACGGACCAGACACAACTGCTGATAATTCACAAGTAAATTTTGATTTTTCGGAATTCGTTAGAGTTGTACAGAAACCTTTCTACTCGCTCTTAAATACAGTCTCAGTCTCAGTCTCAGTCTCGATCATGAGCCAGCTTCATCCGTGGAGGTCATGTGATGTATGGAGCATAATTGAGTAAAAAAAGTAAGTAAGTTACCAACTGTGGGAGACGCGGGTTGGTGATTGATCTTATCAAAGTGCCTAGAGGAGTAAGAACATTGTTTTTCATGTAACTAAATTGTTACATACGCTTTTGATCTGGTACATTATATCCTATTTGCTATGAATAGTTAGTGACAGTTCTCAGGCGCTTAGTTATTCTAACACAGAAACGCAATAACTTAGCGGCAGTTGTCGAAGGAACTTGACTTCGTATGTGCTCTCTTTCGGAAATAGCCTCATGCAAACTCGGGACCCTAGACTCCAAGCCGAAACATAGCAGCCGAGCCAGGAACAAGAGTAAAGCCAAAAGCAAACAACGGCCGAGTTCTACCTACTCCTGCGCCTCCCAGTCCGGTCCAGGGGATATTGCATGAGAAAAACATTACGGAGCAAGCTATGTTGGCATACAGGAAC